AACTTTCAGGAAATTTCTCCTTAGTTGTAAGTTGCTTCCCTCCTTGATTAGTTTCCACCCATTGCTTCTTGCCCTGCCCTCAGGTGCTTTGGAGAATAGCTTTTATTAATAATTTAAAACAAATAAATAAATAAGCAACCCAGAGTTAATTTTTGCAGCAGTTTGTGAGTTAATTTTTGCAGCAGTTTGTGTTCACAGCAGTTTACTGTGACTTTAACACCACCTCCTGGGTTTGCATGCACGAAACCATCCACAAACGAAGCCTATATTGCTGGCAGAATTTGCTCCATACATTGCGAATCAACAAACTACACAGCCACTCGTTTTATCTTATATGTTGCTTGAATCCGGCCAATCGGTTCTCAGAAACGCTTTTCCGAAACCAGCTGCAGGATGAAAAACCAGCTTTCGACCTCTCACGGACCTTGATGTGGTCACGGACCTTGATGTGGTCACGAGGTGTTCAAACGGTGGTGTTTTTGGTTTCTCGTTTTATGACCTATTGTTTTAACGGTCTTATGCACACTTTCCCCCTTTTCTTTTAAACATCGGGAACGCGTCCAATAATGAAAGGCAGCGCAGGTCTCTCTCTCTTTTTTATTTAAATTGTGCTGTTTTCTAATTGGCCAGCAGGAACCAAACCGCGACCCAATCAGCTCGCAAGACCAATGGGCTGACCTCATTAGTTTGCATTGTTATTATTTCTTCCTCCCTTCGCCGCCCCCCCTCCCCTTATTTTTCTATCTTGAAGAAGGGAAGGGGCGAAAAAAAAATCAAAGCCCAACAGCTGGCTTGGGGAAAGCTCCGTGGGCATCAGTGACCTCATCAATGTTGCCAGCCTTTCAGTAGATGGTCAGGTTTGCACAGCTAATAGAGTTGGGGACTATTATTACTAATAATGGATGGCCTCGATTTGAAGCCCTCCCTCCTCCGGAGGAGGAAAAAAAAGGAAGCGCGGGCACTCCCAGCCACGTGCATTATCGTACTTTAAAAGTCCTCCAAGAGACAACTCCCGTTTGAAAGATAACTCGGGAGGGGGGGATTAATCTTCCGTTCAGGTTAATGCAGTCATAACTTTTTTTAAAAGGGGGGGGACTTCATCCTGAATGAATGCACAATTTAGATCAGGTTGGACAGGCGCCCGAAGACGAATGTGTGTCAAGGGCGGTAGCAGCCGCGCTGGCCCTTCAAGAAAAACCAAGCCCAGCTTTGCGCAAACCTCGAACCCAACCCGGGGAGCGCAGCAGCCAACGCGAAGCTGGAGACCGGCGGCGGCGGCGGCGCTGCTCCCGCCGCCCCGCCTTTCCTCTCCTTTCTTCCACCGGGGAGGAGTTTTCCGTAAGCAGCGGGCGTGAGCATTTAAAAGGAAGGGCGGCGACAAGCCGCACAAAAGATTGCTATAGGCTTAAGGCGAGGTTGCAGCGGAGGCAACGGGAGGGAAAAGGGCGGCGTGGGGAGGGGGGTGAGCCAGGCAGGCAAGCAAGCAAGCAGGCGCGTCGGCTAGGGCGCACGGCCGCCCGCCCTTCCCAACCCTGCAGCAGCCAAGGCATCCCGGCCGGGCGGTGGCAGCCACCGCAGAAGCGGGCGCCGCTTAGCAGCCATCCCTCCCCCACTTTTTAAAACAAAGTTGGGAAGTCCGGAGAGCCCCCTCCCCAAGCCCGCTCCTCCCCGCAGATAGGAAGTGTTGCTTTCCGGCCTCGGAGTCCTCCACCCTTCTGGAAGTCGGGGCGTCCTCCAAGGGGGAAGGAAAGCTCGGCCATGGCCGGAGGAGGGGACCGAAGCCGGCGAGGATCCCGTCCCCAGGGAGTCCCCGGACAGCCCTCCACCTGACCGGCGAGGCGAGGCCGAAGTTCTCCGCCCGCCAAGCGGATGCGCCAACGCCTTGGAGGCCGCCGGAGATGCGTCTTCCCGGAAACGGGGGAGCCAAGTGGGTGGCGTGATCGGGCCAAAAGAGGCGAGAAACGGCCCAGAGGATTCCGGGTTGGCGAAGGAAGGAAAGGTGGCCGCCGAGCAAGAGGCGCTGCCTCTCCCGCCCGCTGCGCCGCGTCTTCCCCCGGACGCCCGTGTCCTCCTTTGCTCCGGAGGTGAGCGCGTAAAAACGCTTCTTGGCGAGCCCAGCCGGCCCTCCCCTCCCTCGCTCTCCGCCCGCCACCGCCGTCGCTGCTGCTGCTGGGCTGCTCAAGCTGAGCCGGGCCACACCCTCGCCTGCTCTTCCTGATAGCGGGGAGAGGAAGACCGGTGCCCTCCCGCTTTCCGCGCCAGGGGGGGCGGCAGAGCGAACGGGCGGCGCGCCGGTCTTGCGCTTTTACTGCCCGCGGGGCCAGCTTCCCTTGGAAAGGCGTGAAGTCTGTCGGGAGGTCGCTGGCTTTGCTGGGGGAGGCGAGATCCGGCCGAATGAAGCCAGCCAGCCGGGAAGTTTTAACGTTGCTCTTTGTATTGGCAGGTCTGCGTCGCGGCGGCGGCGGCTGGGTTCTTCCTCGCCTCTCTCGGAAAGAAAAGTCAGCCGGAGCCGCGAAGATGCCCTTAAAGAACCGAGGCTTTGAGGGTCCCATGAGCCAGTGGCGGCCACCGCAGCGTTTCTCATCCGCAGGCTGGATGTTGTGACCGGTGTCTGGAGTGGTGGCACCTTTGGAAGGTGGCGGGGACCCTGGTCGCTTCTGCCCTGCTTGATCCCGACTTGGTGGTGGGTCTGCCAGCCCCTTTTCTTCCCCTCTGGTGCTCCGAGAGACTCTGGTTTATTTGTGCAGATTAATGGAATGATGGTGCGGAAAGGGCAGAGCGATCCTGCCGGGCTCAGCGGGGGCTCCTCAGGAGGCAGCTGGAAGCGGAGTGGTGGCAGCAGTGGGGTCCCCAGAGGCATGCGTGTGCCCCTCCGGCACCATGGCTAGCGGCGGCTCTGGCAAGTCCACTACTGAGACATCCACCCCCAGCGGCAGCTCTTTGCCAAGGAGGAAGCTTGTGGCCACCTGTGACCTCTGCAAGATCAAGATGCAACTGGTAGCGGATCTGCTCCTGCTAACCAGCGAGAGCCGGCCTGTCCATACAGAGAGCTTGTCCGTCTTCGGAGAATCCTTTGAAAAGTGCAGGGACACCATCATCGCCAGGACCAAAGGCCTCTCCATTTTGACCCATGACGTCCAGAGCCAACTCAACATGGGCCGTTTTGCCGAGGTGGGGGACATCCTGGGGGAGATGGGGGACTTGGTAGTCTCTTTGACAGAGTGCTCGGCCCACGCCGCTTACCTGGCGGCAGTGGAGACGCCAGGGGCTCAGCCGGCTTTACCCGGCTTGGTGGATCGCTACAAGGTGACCAGATGTAAGCACGAAGTGGAACACGGGTGTGGGATCTTGAAGACCACCCCTCTGGTTGACCTAAGCCCTCAGCTCCTTTTGGAGGTCTCTCAGAACATGTCCAAGAACTTGAAGTTCCTGACCGATGCCTGCGTCCTGGCCAGTGAGAAGTCCAAGGATAGGTTTGCCAAGGAGCAGTTCAAGCTTAGCGTCAAATGTATGAGCACCAGCGCTTCTGCGCTCCTGGCCTGCGTCCGGGAGGTCAAGACGTCCCCCAGCGAGCTGACACGCAACCGGTGCGTCTTGTTTAGTGGACCTTTGGTGCAGTCTGTGTGTGCGTTGGTGGGCTTTGCCACAGAGCCTCAGTTTTTGGGCAGAGCGGCCACCATCAACCCAGAGGGGAAAGCTGTGCAGACGGCCATTTTGGGCGGTGCGATGAGTGTCGTCTCGGCGTGCGTGCTCCTTACTCAATGCCTCAGGGATATAGCCCAACACAATGACAGTAGCACCAAGATGACTGAATACAGGGAAAGGTTGAGGAACTCGGCGTGCGCGGTCTCCGATGGCTGCAACCTGTTATCTCAGGCCCTAAGGGAACGCTCGTCACCCCGGACTTTACCGCCAGCAAATGCAAATTCTGTGAATTAATCTATTCATTTTTAGATTGCATGGCCGCCTCTAACATAAAGATCCCTTTCCTGCCCCAGATTTTCTTTTCGTATACCAAAGAATTTGTGTAGCGCAGTCCTTTAATTCTTCTTATTGCTAAAGTAACAGTGTGAGGAGGCTGTGAGACCATGCTTTTTTAGCTTACATGTCATAATCGGCATGGATGTTTTACTTGGGGAAAGGGAACAGGAAGCACATTCCCCTCCCTCCCAAATCTTTAAGTCATCCGAGCAGCCTTATATGTAAGCGTGGAACTGCAGGCAGCTTGCAATGGTCTAAGACAGGCAGGTAGAATTCCATTCAGGCAAGGGAGCAAAGGAAAACCTGCAATACGCACTTCCTTCTGCTTGGCCCAAAATCAAGGTCAGTTCTTGGAGGACAAGGCTCTCCCCTCTCGTAGGCCTTGTGCAAAATGATTTAAATTCCCTGTTCTATTGCCGGCTTCCAGAAGGCTCCTAGGACCTTGCCCAGGCTAGTCCCTTTGGAATGGTTCCTTAAGGCTTGCATCCAAGCTGGTTCTGCTTCATTGCTTCCTTATTTTGTTAAAGCCTGTGGTCAAGCAGGGGTTACAGTAATCCTAGGAAAGGTTTACTGACGGGGGTCCAAGCTTTAATCGTGCTGGATGCGATTTTTAAAATGTCAGGAGATAGGGGTTTGTGGGAGGAGGGTGGTTCTACCAAAATCTCCTAGATTTTATTGCTTAGTTGAGCAGGAAGAAGAAAAAAGGAGAGAGAGAGAGCGAGAGAGAGAGAAAAAAAGTTACCTCAGTTTTTCATACACTCTGGAAGAAAGAAAACTTTTAAGAATGGGTGTAGCTACGATTATTGTTTTGTATGGTTACTTTTGAATCAAGTGATGGGTTAGAAGTGCATTTGCAGGGAAAGCTGGGTGTCATTTTCCAATGGGGGGGAGGAAGCTACTGTGAGTGTGTTAAAATAGGGATTGGGTAAATTACACTATAACAATGAGTGATTTTGATTTTTAATTATTATTTTTTCAGTGTTTTTTTTTAATCTTGCATGTACTGGAGTATTTATTTCATCTATTAAAATGTTGTTTCTCAGCTTTTTGTGAATCTCTCAACACTTAAAGAATACCCTCTGTTGTGTAAATGTGTCTTCTCCCCCCCAAAAAAAAGAAGTGTGTGATTGGGAAGGAGGTTTAATTTACTATGAGCTTCTGTAGATTTGAGTTCGCTGACTTTTTAAAATGACATGTTCTTTTCCTTTCTCCTCTCCTTCACCTGAATTTTTGCCAAAGTTGGAGTTTGAGAAGTTGAATGGCTATGTTTGTTTCCAGAATATTCCCAAATGAGCTGTACTGTATCTGATCCAAATGTTCCAAAAATGAATCCACTAGGACTTTAGATGTATTTATTCAGAAACACGCCTTTTTGTTTTCACTTAGGAGCTTCTCATTGTAACATGTTGAGTTTCTCCGACTTAAAATACAGATTTCTAGATATGGAAATTTTGGGAAGTAAGCCCTGCTCTATGAAGTTTACTTTGGAGTAGACAAAATTATGTGGCAATCCTATAGTCCTAGGGCAGTGTTGGCGAACCTTTTCGGCACCAAGTGCCAAAACGGGAGTGCGTGCATGCGCGCAGGGGAGCACCGGAAATCAGAACAGCAGCTCCCTAGCGCACAAATACGCGAGCACCAGAAACTGGAAGCTCAGTTTCCTGGCTTGCGCATGTGCGCCAGGGAGCTGCTCTTCCAGTTTCTGGCGCTCCCATGCATGTGAATACCCGCTGGCTGGTGTGCATGTGCGTGCTGGAACCCAGAAGAGCAACGGGCAATGGTTTGCATGCCCGGAGAGATGAGTCTGCATGCCATTTCCAGCACATATGCCCTAGATTCACCATCACGGTCCTAAGGTGTGTAGTCTACAGGTCAAGACCCAGTGACCATAGTACAGGTAATCCTCGAATTACGACCACAGTTGAGGTCAAAATTTCTGTTACTGAGACATTGATTAAGTGAGTTTTGCCCCATTTTACGACCTTTTTTTGCCATAGTTGTTAAGTTAAAATACTGTAGTTGTTAAGTTAGTAACATGGGTTGTTGAGTGACTCTGGCTTTGACTTTGCTTGTCAGAAGGTTACAAAAGTGACTCCAAGACACTGCCACCGTCATAAATATTAATCCATTGCCAAGCATCTGAATTTTGATCATGTGACCCATGAGGATGCTGCAGTGGTCGAAAGTGTGGGGAAAAAATGGTCATAGGTCACTTTTTTTCAGTGCTGTTGTAAGCAGTCAATAAGTGAACTGTTGTAAGCCGAGAACTAGGGTATTCCATACAATGTTAATAAAGGGAAATTTGTAATAGTAATGTTCTGTTCAGGGATGCAGCTTAACCTTAGCAAAACTTCAGGGTGCTAAGATGGGAAAGGATTTGTGTTACGTTGACGTCCTCAGAGGTAGCGCAGGCAATATGTAATGAATAATAATGAGCCATGCTTACCTAAGCCTTTCTGGACCAGATAATGCTCCCATCCTTTCAAGTGGTAATCTGGAGGACATGGAGTGGCTTCCTCTGTTCAAGAAATGCATCTTGTTTTCTTTAAAGCGTGGATATCAGAATTTGTCACGCTTTCGCAAAGCCCCACATCACCTTTGATATCTGTTGTAGTGGAAGATGGCTTGCTGTTCACTAGCATGTTTTTCCTGAAAAAAACCCCTTTGCAATTAGAGCAAAATAATTCTCATTAGCTATTTGCAAACAAAGAGTTCTTTTCCTTGCACTTTTAATAAAATGTCAACCAGTAAATCCACTCATGAGATGACCAAGTTCTTTCATATTTTTTACCATTTGTCTCATCAATTTACTAGACTTGCTTCACTTACAAATGGCTAGCATAAAAAATATACAAGCAGGTGATAAAAGATAACATTCATTGGCTTCTATTAATTTGAAATAAACTTTTATTAGACTTAAGACATTAAAAATAATAATAAATAACACAGTGCTTATTTATGTCGTGTGTGGCTAGAGAGACTGCAACCCAGCGATGCCCCCTTCTCTGCAAGAAACTCAGGCTGCAACAGTAGTCCCTAAGTTTATCTGAAGTTATATTCACTTCTGAATAGACATAACATTGTGCCGTGAAATGAGCCACAACCATTGTAGTCATTGCATTGGTGATCTTATTTTGGAATAAACCGTTTAAGAAAGATTGTATGCCTGTGCATGTACACACATACACTATGCCTGCCTGTGTGATCTGATTTTTTTTTTTTAATGTGTGCATAAGATTTTGAAACATGCCTAGGAGGTAAACCTTTATTACAAAAGAGAAGCCCTAACCTATGGGGTTGTCCTTGAGTGGTGATTTTGCTAGGCAAAATAGCTGTTAAGAGTGAGTCACATCCAGTTTGTATAACTTCTTTTTTGTATGGTGTTTAAGCGGTTGCTAAGTGAGCCATCTAGTTATTAAGCAAATCGGCTTAAAGTCATTTCCCCCATTGACTTGACTTGTTGGAAGCCAACTGAGAAAATTGCAAAATGGCAATCACATTGGGGTACTGCAACTATCGTAAATGCATGTTGGTTGCCATGCAGCTGAATTTTGATTCACGTGTCAATTGCGAGTGTAAACCACCAGTCGTAAGTCACTTTTTCATTGCAACTTTGAACAGTCACTAAATGAATGGTTCTGAGTCAAGGACAATGTATAATAATATCTTTATCATCCTGTTTCTCAGGCGCTCTAGGCAACCCTCTCTAATTTTATTCTCATAATAAGAATCATCTACCTGAAAGTTACTGAAGAATTTCTATGATGGAAGCAGATTGCTACCTGTGTCTTCCCAATACTACTACAACATTTTAACTCTGTGCTACTTTGGCTGTCTATAGAATGTACATTAACGGCTGGATTCATGCATCACGTTAAGCCATCATATTTCCTTTCACATAATGTGATTTGTAGTAATTATGATTTGTAAACCCTCATTTATAAAGTTGTGGTTTATCCAAATTATGAGTAAAGCAATTATGGCTTTATGAACTTTTCACTGATATATATCAGATGTAATTTCCAGAGAATACTTTAATGCCAGGGGTGTCCAACCTTGACAAATTTAGAATTTGTGGACTAAAGCTACCAGAATTCCCCAGCTAGCATTCTGATGGTAACTGGCAGAACCTATTCCTGAACTTCATCTCCGTCCTTGCTCTACCAGTAGAAGAGCTATTCAAAGAGGCTTTGCTAACAAAGAGTGACCAATCTACCTTTAGAAATATCCTCAAAGGCATGAGGCTGGATGTTTATATCTAATTATTTTTCCCCTTTCTTAATTGTTTTAAAAACTCATGGTTGAACTGGGATCAAGTCAAGTTTAAAGTATGGTTTTCAGCTGCTTCCTAATCATGGCCATGTTCTCAAGCATAAGCATCTGGCATAACATTACACCAGGGGTGTCAAACATGCTTCGTCACGGTGGCACCCCATGACGTATTGCAACTTTCCTCCCCTTCATTAAGCCGGACGTGGACGCCAGCATGTGATACACCTGGCCGGTAGGCCGCGTGTTTGACAGCTCTGCATTAGATGCAATATTTGCAATGATAAAATAGATCTGTGATGTCACTTCTACTTGATCCATGGATACCTAACTGTACCTTCCTGTTCAATGAATGCTCCTTGCAGTTCTCCATTATTATTATTTTTTTGAGTTTCATAGATGCTGTTTAGGGGTGGAGCAGGCACATTTCCTTCCTGCATCTCTTCTGCCTCTCATTTCTCTTCTATCCCAAATACACGATGCATTCAAGAGATGGAATTAATGCAGCTAGGAAAAGCTGGAGCAAAAAGAGATAGACATTAGGGGTGAGTGGGGTGGTCCCAAATCCCATCTATTCCAGCATTGCCACTTCTCACCATAGCCCTTTGATTCTCCAAAATTGATAATTAAAAAACAAACAAACCTGAACAGGTCTGTTTTCTGACAGATAAGATGAGCCCTGGTAGCACAGTAGGTAGAATGCAATATTGCAGGCAAATTCTGCCCACAATCAAGTTCAATCCTGACGGAGCTCAAGGTTGACTCCATCCTTCTGAGGTTGGTCAAATGAAGACCCAGATTGTTGGGGGCAATATGCTGACATTTGTAAACTTCTAAGAGCGGGCTGTAAAGAACTATGGAGCAGGAGATAAGTCTTCAGTGCTATTGCATTTGTTTTGTGCTTGGAACCTTTCCTGGGGAGGGGAGGCAAACCCAAACATCACGGAGAAGCCATAACATGATTTATTTATATTAAATAACCAACTGTGAGTCATGTTTCATTAACTTAGGTTTATCATGCTGTCATCACCCAGCCAGGATGGTTTACTGGGGAAGATGGCAATGACAAAACATTGGTTCCCCCTGGTTTATCTAGCGATTGCTTGCTCCACTACAACAGGGTGGGAATTGGAGATAGAAATAATATTAACCATCTGGGCAGCCGTGGTCTTGATCTTTAAAAAATTCTTTATCATTAGACCCATTGTATGCTCTGGGGACAGATAGGCCGGATGTTTTTGCTTTGGCTTCTTTCCTAACTCTTTGAAACACTCCTAACTCAACTGTGAGTTATTGTTGTTTTTTAAATCTCAACAATAGTTGTAGTTGCCTCTATATTTATGTTTCTTTAAGTGTTTGGGGTAGAGAAAAGCAACTTGCTTTGGAATATATTGGTTCATCATAAAACATTGATCTGCGGAGGCTTTCTTAAAAAAAATGATGTTTCTGTTTTAAACTTATGTGGGGGAGTGGGGAGTTCCCCTGTATTGTGGGGGGGGGGGATAGCATAGGTTGTTTGATCTGGAAAGCCTGGTTGTTTGCAAAGTTAAGTGAGTTAATGCCTATTAAAACCAAGGGACTTGGATGCACAAAATAGCAGATTCCTAGATAGTCACTCAGAAGTAATTCCCATTGCAGATGGAATTTAAATAGTCTGAGCTCTTGGGATTAATTTGAAATGAAAAGGGGATAAATCAAGACATGGATGCTCTTTGTTTAGTTTGGATTAGCATGTTGGATGAATCCTACCTCCTGTGGTTTAGTCAATCAACTA